GATGACAATTGGCGGATCTCCTCCGGCAGGTCATTCCACAGTTTGGGGTCAAGTACAGAAAATGCCCTCTGGGAGGTCGACACCAGCCTCGTTTTTTGAGGCTGTAACAAATTCCTCCCAGAGGACTGGAGGGTGCGGGGAGGATTATACGGGAGGAGGCGGTCCTTAAGGTAGCCTGGACCCAAGCCAATACTAGCCAGGGCTCAGGCTAGATTCAGGCCTGCATCATTCCGAGGTCGCTAAAATGAGTACCCAACTGTTGGGGGGCAATGAGCTTACAGTTGTAAACCGCTTAGACATCCCATAGCACAATATGAAGCGGTATATAAATGAAGCTGCTTTGCTTTGCTTTAATCTGGACATTCACCAGAAAGCTGGGGTAAAAGCCAAACGTACACATGTTTTGCTTTTTTTGTGCAGAACTTTTTTCCTTTGATTAATATCATAACTTTGGAAGTACAGTATTTATTTACCCTTTCTTTCTTCACAGGTTTTAGAAGAAGAAAAATATGTATTGTGCATGATGGAATTACTTAAGGAAGAAGAAATGTGATTTCCTAAACTGAACAAAAATAACTCAGAAAATACTGAATATAATACTAAGAACTCCTATTTTTTTTATAATAGACAATTATCATAATATTCCAAAGAGTGATTTGCACTGAGATGAATGTGAAGGAGAAGTAACTTCTGTGAAGATTGTCAAGATTTTTATGACTTTAGTAATTTATTCACGTCCAAATTTTTACGCTCTATTTTTGTCTCTTTTATAAAACAAAAAACCAAAACTATTCTCAGACAAAACAAAGCAGAACTTCAGTGTGATCTGAAGAGTTGGAATTCTGTTTCAGCACAATGCCATAACTTTTTAAAGCCAATTGTCAGTAATTATTTCATTTGTTTAGAGTCCTTACTCTTACTTTATCAACACATACTCTTTTCCTAAATAATGGCATGGGCAAAATTCCTGAGGAAACCTGGAGGAAACCTTGGAAAAGTATATCAACCTGGAAGTATCATGTCACTGGCTCCTACCAAAGGATTATTAAATGAACCAGGACAAAACAGCTGTTTTCTAAACAGTGCTGTACAGGTAAGATCACAAAAATATAAAAACCCTCATTTTAACTTTACCAGAATGTGTTTAAAAGCTACATTAATTCAGTTATATTAATCTAGGTTGCTTTTAAAAGTCTGCCACGATGTTCTGTTGAATAACTATCTCTCCTATGCATTAGATAAAATAGTAAAGTGTGGGGAGAGAATTAAGGTAGGCATTCTTTGAAGCAAATTTTTAAATATTTGTAGTCATACTATTGATGTGTGAAATATGGACTCCCTGCTGACTTCATTGAACCACAGTTAAATGAAAGTCAATACTAGGCAGTCTACAGTTGTGAGGTCCCACATTCCAGAAATCTTCAAAACTAGTATATATTCTTATATAAGCTGGATCAGTGCAGCCATTGCAAAATACAGTACAGTGGTACCTCTACTTACGAAATTAATCCGTTCCGACAGCCATTTCGTAAGTAGAAAATTTCGTAAGTAGAAGCAAATTTAACATTGAAAATGCCTAATCCATTCCGCAGCGAGGCCGGGGCCGACCTCGCTGCTCTATGGGCTTGGTCGCCGAAGCTGTCATTTCGGCAACCAAGCCCATAGAAGAGCAAGGCCGGGGTTAAAGGGACAG